ATTTGTTTACTTTATTAAACATTTCTTTCAATGTAAGTTGTATGCGTTACGCGCATGCGTAAAACATGCAAAAAAAGAAAGTTTGTGGCTTTGAGGTCCGAATTACAGATCATTCTGGATAATGGACGTCCAGATTACGGACTTTGTACTGTATTATTTTGCTTTCCAAAATTCTTTAAAGTTTGGATGTATACACAGTGTATGTACAAAGTTTTATGAGTTAAATCATAAGTTGAAGAAAACTACTTTCTTATTTCTTAGTCTTCAATATACAGTCCTTGTAAGTTTATACATCACTTGGCTGATTCATACATTAGCTTAATTTCTTCGTAGAACTTGTTATTTGTAAAACTGTATCCTTTCTGGGATCCAAGTCTTTGGTTGCAGTTTTCAGAATCTTTTCATCACTGAGTGAAAGTGAGATTGTAGGGAAGAGAAGTAGTGTGCAGATGCTAAATCTATTGAGTAAATGGGTGGCTGCAAATTGAAGCTCCGTTCTTTGATAGAAACTGCATGATGGGAATGGAATTGTGTAATGGCATATTGTAGTGCAGCAGAAATCAATTATTTAACTGAGCATTTTGGGTCTAACACATTTTGTTAATTTCAGAAATCTTTATTTCTTTATATAAAATATAGAATTTTTTGTCTTATCTTTTAGGAGTAAATTACTTTAAAATTTGCCCTTTCTGATGAAACAAATGTGGCTAACATTATCCTTGCTTGAGATTTCTGAAGCCAAAGTTTGTCTGAAGATGAACTTTATGCACCCCAAGCAGATGACTGAAATTTTGTCATAGAATCAAAAGAAAAGCACCAAGTTTCATCTTCAATCAGAAAAGATCGTATTTAATATCTACCATTTAGACCAAATACCATCATACAGAACTTTGATCTTCTGTTTATTTTGTAGTCAATACATGAAAGATAAAATGAGAGCAATTTCTTTTTTAGTCCAAAGGGGCTTTGTTCCTGAAGGACAAATTTTTTTATGTGATTTTGTGTTGGTTCACTGTCCGTTTCACTTTTCAAACTGTTGCCACCAAATGTTCGAGTCCTGCACTATATTTGAAGAAATTAAACAATGGAAAATCGGCATAAATATATCATATTTCTCGCATTGTGATAAAACAACTGTACATAGAGCCATCGAATTTTGAATGGCATAATCCTACTGCGAATATGGGCATGTGGAAGCCCAAATTTGGAATTTGTTTTATTATCGATTTCATATTTTTTAAACCTTTAATGAATTTTTGATTAACAAACTCAAGGATTTCAAAGTGAGCAATGGCAACATTGTACAGAAAAAACATTTTTATCTCCAGCGTGCGAGACTGCGTATCGGAAATTCTAAAGATATGCTCAATATAAAACTTATTTTGCAATATTGCTCTTGAACTGAATTTTATGGTTTAAGGGCAAAGAACATGATATTTAATAAATAAAGGTAACAGACAAAATGTTTTTAAAAAAAAACACTCCTTTGAACGTAATTTAAAATCTGAAACCCTTCAGATTTTTATTTATTTATTGATATTTTTTTAAGCAGTAGCCTGTTGAAGAACTGTTATTACACACATACAAAATGTCAATGATGATACCTTAAAAAAAAGTAGATTAAGAAAAATGATATGACACTATTATTATGGTAATTTTTTAGCTGTAGTGAAGTTGTGTTTTTAAGAAGAGTCTTTAAAACCTTTGCATATAAAGGTTTCCATGTTATATATTGAAAAAGGCTGCATTTAAAATTGTTTCCATGGTAATTGATAAATGTTATACAAATCTTGAATTCATCTCCAAACTTAAATGAAACTCAGAGTAAGCGCATAAATATAATCCCATATTGCTTCAGCACTAAATGTTAATATTTTTCCCCCGAAAATTTGAATTAAGTATTATAAAACTTCATTTTTCATTTGTGATTTTTAGACTAGTATCTGAAAATTATACATTAAAAGGGAAGAATATGAGATGTAGAATATTTATGACATAGAACTGATGCAAAGAGTATAACATATATTAAATATTTTAATTCTGTACAAAATTACATTCAGTTTTATAGGTTGTATGAAAGATATATTCATATTTTATACTTCTTCAAATTATAAATATGAATTTATTTTACCCACTGGGTAAATTACCTCTTTTTACTTAAAAATTATTCTTTCATCTTTTAAGACTGACTGGAATATACAGTGTTTTGGAAATTGATATTATTGATAGCTGTGTATTTTATTACTCACCTATAAATTTTCATTATGCTTTTGATCATTTTTCCACTAATTCTTTTTAATTATTAATTATTTTAATAATTTTCCTTCTAGATAGATGTGTATTTAATTAAAATTCTTGCTACATCCCTCTTATTTATTTATTTAGTTTATATATATATATATATATATATATGAAGAAATTGTGAGTACAGAATCCAGACTCGTCGAGACTTCGGCGATTCCGGATTATCGATTTTTCCGGATTATAGATCATCAGTTTAAATCTGGTAAGATGGCATGTAGAAATTATAACAATTAAAAATATGAAACCGTAATTTATGAAATAAAGAGCAATATGATCTAAAGGGTATCAATATTTACAAAAAAAAAAAAAGTTTAATATTTATTTGCTTTTACTTTATTAAACATTTCTTTCAATGTAAGTTGTTTAAGTTGCTTCGATTTATGTGATAATACTTTCTCTTTAATTCTATAAACAGACATAATTTCTTCAGTAACAAAGTTCCTCTGTTCAAGTACTATAATTGCTGTGTCGAGAATACCGACTAATTTGTCAATCGAAATTTTTTCATTTTCAATAACGTCTGTGTCACTTTCTTCACTATTGGAAGCGAATTGTAATGACGAGGAATTTGATTTAAATCATATCAAAGAGGGAGTACATCGAGATCAAGTACTACATTTAGTAAGGAATTATAAGCCAAATAAAATAAAAACATCTGCCCTGAAGATAAGGATAGTGCTGACAAATCAACTTCCAGTACATTGCGCGCCGTGACACATTATGCGTTGACGAATGCGCAGAAAGTTTGTAGCTTTGAGGTCCGGATTAACGACTTTTGACTGTATTATTTGTTAATCTTCTCTAATCATTTGTTAAAAACCGTTTTCCGCCCCTAATTTGCTTTCTGTTGAAAAATGGGCTTTTGATCTTGGCAAATTTTATTCTTTTTTGGGGAGAGAGGAGGAGAAAATTCATAATTATCACTTAGTATTAAAAGTTTAAACCATAACTTGTTAATGTGTGAAATTTCTGAAAGTAGTAGTGCATTATATGAGTTATAATTAATTTAAATGAGTTCTAGTGCTCCAGTATGTATCAGTATAGTGGTAGTAGTTGAGTGACAATTTTATATGATGAAATATACAGGTTGCATCAAAAAATATGTACACACTTTGAACTGTCATAGAAAATTTATTTTCCAACTTACAAGGTTGAATTTCTGGGAAAAGTAGGGCTATGGTCCAATTTGTGAAATTAGTGTAATGTTCTTGTCAAACTGAATGTTCCAGATGATGTTTAAAGTAAATGTTAGCATTCAGCATTGATACATTTCTGAGTCGTGACTGATTCCGTTCCTTGCACCAAAGCGTCCAGTGGAATTTCTCTCCATACCGCTTGAATTTCACTCCAAAGTTTGCCAAGGTTACGGGGTTTACGACTTCATCTTTTACTGTGCCCCATAAAAAAATTTAGCAGGAAGGAAGGTCTGGAGAGCATGCAGGAAACTCCATTAGTGCCCTATGTCCTATCCACTGGCCTGGTACATTATCAGTCACCACTAGCGCTTAACACCATTTTCATGTGACCCTTGCCTTGAAGATTTTTGTGATGAACATTAAAACACTTTTAGCATTGGAACTGAGGATTCAAAACATGTAGCCACGCGAGGTTGACTTGATTGGCCTTTCTACACATCACACACTGTTTCACGAACCTTGAATTTTTCTCGTAGATATGGAATTTGAAGGTGGCTCAGTCCCATACTCAAATCTCCAATGTCTCTGAACTGCAGCAACATTCTCAAATTTCCAACACTACTTAACCTGCTTTTGCTTTTTAAAGTTCAAGCATATATTCTCCATGTCAATATTACTCTCTTGCTACTAACTGGGTTGTGCAGCTAGACCAACGGCTCTGTTGTCACATATTGAGGAAACATAACATTACTTATTCCTAGAAATTTAACTTTGCAGGCAGAAATTTAATTTTTTTATGAAAGTTAAAAGTGTGTATACATTTTTCTGCCGCACACTCTATTTTCTATATTAATAAATCAATTAAACAGCTTTTTATATTTCTATTGGGTATTGTTTGGCAGCTGCATTCAAAATCATATCAAATACATTCTTATTCTCTGCAGCTTGTCTATAATTCTATATGAACTTTTCTGAATAAGATGGCAAATTGTCTTATCTTGAACCATTTCCCAGTTTACTCTAACACTAATTGGCAGTTCTTAACATTACATTTCCATTGCACATCCTCCATCATGTATAGTTTCATTGTTAGAGAAAATTAGAACATGCAATTTGTTGGCAATATATCATATATCTAAAAGAATGGATTACTGTTGCCTATTTCTTAGGCAATCTAGTAAAAACATGATGCAAAATGTAGCAAAAATCAACAGTAGACAAGCAAAACGGTATACCAAGAATTGTTCACAAACTAAAAGTCACCAAAACACTGACTCTGCATATGTGCAGAGTTTAGTTGGCATGAAATTGGTAGTGAAATAAAAAGAAAACCATCTCCAGCTAACGTAGCCAAAAAAAAAAAAAAGGGGGGGGGATGGATGTTTGAAAAAAAAAAAGAAAAAAGAAAGAAAAAAAAAGTAATAAAAAAATTTTTATGATATGGTTTTCAGTGTGATATTTAAATTGATACTAGTATGTTTCTAAAACTTTTATTATTTTATTAGTTATAATATACAAGCTACAAGCATCATGAAAATATAACTTATGTTTTCTTTATAGGTAATGATCAGAACTCTGAATCTACTATTCCTGCAAAATATCTTAAAAAATATGCAAGGTCATCTTCAGTCGATAATGAAAGCTTATTTGGTGCTGTTTCTATGCCACAGTTAAACTTTCCCAAGCCTGGTGATGTAAGATATTTATCTTTATTATTATTTATGTATAAAATTAGAATTTTTGAATCCAGAAGCAGAGAAAAAGTGTAGCATTCTAAAATTTGCTTAATTTCTTATGAATGTGACTACAGATTTATATTTTTTACTCTGCGTATCGAAATTTTTACAATGTTATGACCAAGCAAGTTTGTAATGGCATATCTCTCTCATCCCTTCTCTTGCCTGTTTAAAATGGAGGCTGTACTATGGATAGAGAGAGAGTGATAAGAAAAATAAATTTTTGCTACAGGCATAAATTCATATTTTGAATATTTCCAAAATTATACTAGGTTGTGTTGTTTAATAAATATAATTTTGTTAATGAATTATATTTAATATTTTGATGAAATTTATGATCAAATATTCCATTCATACATTTAATAAAAGGAATTATTTTGTGTTTTAAATTTACCTTAGTTTGCTAATTATGTGTATTCTTTTTGGTATAAAAAAAATGTCCATCAGGTTTTCACAGACTAGTTTTGTAATCTGTATTCATGTAGTTGGTCTGGAAGGGAGACAGAAAGAACAATTTTCATTAGAAAATAAGGCATGGTGAATCATCTAATGAAATAATAATAAATGTATCCATAATTGTTAAGAATTATTTAATAATTACAAGTAAATATCAATAATTATATAACAACATAAAGAATACTTCAAGACATTGTTTAACTTGCCAAGAATGATCACTTAATCCTCAATTTGAAAGCCACTGCTCTACATGTCTAATATGCTTCCTTTTACCAGTGGCTTGGGCAAGATTTAACTAGTGCTTTACCTCAGCCCATGCATTAGAAAGTAGCCTTTCAGATTTCTTCTGATCAGCAGGTCTCTCTCTAAGCAAGCAGGAGCGGTGACAACAGTCAGTCTTTTGTTTAAATCATGCTGATTATGATTTTACTTCTCATTTTAACCTATGCTGCTTGACATAAAATCTACTTACTATTTACTTAACTTCTAGACTCGCAAGTATGTTACAAAATGAGACATTAGGGGAAAAAAAAAAAAAAAATCAACATAAAGCTAACTGTTAGTAAAGCCTAAATAAAATGTCACTTATCTTATTTCAAATATGTCCAATCATTATAAGTATAAAATATTTAATGCTACTTGATAAATTTCACAAAGTTTATTTTATTCTCAGACTTATTAATAATCATGTTAATTAAGTTACGTTTATTAATAATGCATCCTACTTGAGGATCTATTTTATTTTTAGGATGGTATTGCAAAAGCAAAGTTCAGGCATAGATAATATTTTTAATTGAATTTATTCAGTTCCCATTTGCTCATAGGTCCTTAATTTTTTCCATTAATGGTCCTTAAATGTCCTTAATTTCCATGTGCAAAATTGTGTACGAACCCTGTATATGGGACAGTGGTTGCCAGAGCCTACTCCCAAGAGAGGTTGGACTTCTAATTTTCCACCCTCAATTTTGAGGGAAAGCACCCGGGGGCAGGGGGATTCGAGGGTCTCCACCGCTCTCCCCTTTCACCAATCCACAGGAGAGGACTTTTGGCTTGCCACATATTTAGAGTGCCACCATGCCGCACCGACACTGTACATTTACAAAGATCCATGTCATCTCAAGGATTTGACCGAGACCCTTTGGTACTGTAGTAGGCTCCCCTAACCACTATACCATCTGGGCGACTTTGGTGTAGCTGATACGTGGTCATTAACTAACTTCTCAGACAGAAGGTTAGGTGGAGTTAGATTTGATAATTTAAGGACAGTAAAAAATGCTTCCTTTCGTAGGCTATCTTGTAATAAAATGGTCATTTAAGATAACATTAATCTACCGGAAAGCCTCATCTTGCTGAAAGATTGTCAGTTTAGGAAACTGAGACACACTATATACTTACAGTGTGTCTAAGTGCACTAGCTCAGTTAGTAAAAATATTGTAAAAAATGTATTTGGTTTATAAAATTTCAGAATTGCTCTTAACATTAGTACTGTGAGGTAGAGTTTTGTATGTAATGAAGTTTTCTTTCATTTTAAGTATAATGCAGTATATGCAAGAACACAATTGGAAGGAAAAATTGCAACATGGAAATTATTATATAGTGCGAAAAGAGCATATGGACTACAGTTTTGTGTGAATTGAGCTTATTTCATGAGAAATGTCAGTATGGATATGTGTAACTTAAAGCAATGCTTGAGGTGTTTTACAGTAATGGACATCCTTAATATAGCAGATACCAGAGACAGAAGTAGAGAAAATTTACTTTGGGAGGTGGGAAAAAGGCAGTGAGATCAATATTTTGTCAGATGGCAAGTGACCGAAAAACAATAACTGTTAATAATATGTATTTATGTACTTTTTGTGATGATATAGAATGTAAACTCTATTTAAATACACAGTAGGAAGGGAAAAGAAGGTTCAGAGGTTTAAAAATAATTTTAAAAATCTGATACAATTATTTAAATAAAATAACTCAAATAATGGAATAAAATAAAACAACTCAAAGCATTTGCTGGTAATTAAAGGCAGTTATGTTATTTTTATATGTGTTTTTCCCTTAAAGAAAAACCTTCATATTTATATAACATTTCATTTCTTCATATAACCTTCCATCATCAACCTTCTCTGGAAAAAAAAGAAGTTTATTGAATGTAGAAACGCATTGACTCATGTAATGTTTGTAGCTGGCAATTTGCATTGAAATTGTCAATTAAAAATCATGGATATTTTACAAATGTATATGTTATCTTAACATTTGAATATTGCAATGTTTAAATGTTAAAAATGTATTTGGGAACATTCTGTTTTTTAATTTCCTCTTGATTTTCAACTAAAAAATCCTTCTTTCCAGTCATACTCTGCCTTGGGATTGTATCCAGAAACTGATCGAGACAGTTCTCTTACACTAGATGATGAAAGTGAAGCCAGAGCTTACACATGCAGCCAAAGTGTACTTTCACTTGGTGTAAGTATATAATTTTTTAATTAATTTTTATCTTTATGCAGCATTTTTCATTCATTAAAATATATAAATGTGTCTTAAAATATATAAATGCAATATTTATTCCTACAATTAAATTGTGAAATGAATTAATTTGCATAATAAAATTCATGGACTCGTCCTAATTTTACTGTCAGACAAATGAGGTAAGTCGCAGCAACAACAGCAGTGTTTCTGAAGTTTTCTCTGTGCACATCGTGTCAGACAATATGAATACCTCTTTGCAAGTAACAGCAACTTTCCTGTGCACAAGATAAGCCATCATCAGCATTTTTCACTTAAAATCTCAAATATTAGTAGTATTCAGACTATATACTTTCCCTTCCTGTGTCAGTCCTTCTACGACCAGAGGGGTGTTTTCTTCATTTACACATACATATACATTTCAAGAGCATTTGGACTAAACATAATTAAAAAACAGCATATCTTTAGAATTTCTAATAGACAATCTCATACACTGAAAATAAAAATATTTTGTTCCGCACAGCCACTGCTCACTTTGAAGTAATTGAGTTTCTGAATCAAAAATTTGTTAAAAAATAGATAATAAAACAGATTCAAGATTCAGGCTTCCAGGTGTCCATGTTCATGTAGAGGACTACGTTATTCAAAATTTGGTGGCTGTAGGTATATATATATATTTTTACAATGCGAGAAACATACGTACATTCATGCAGATTCTTCATTATTTAATTTCTTTAAACATAATACAGGACGATAATATTGGGTTACAACAACTTGACAAGTGTGACAATTTGAAAGCCATTTATTGTGATTTGTCGCAAAATGCCGTTTTGAGACTAATAGCCTTTCTAGGCTAACACCGCTTTGGGCTTAGAAAAAGAAAAGAAAAAGGCATCACTAAAAAAAGCTATAAGTTAAAGGTTATTTCTCTGTTTTTCTTGTGAATTTGAGGGGGGGCATGAATAAAATATGGGGTTTGTTTTGTTTTGAACAGTAAGTAGTAAAATATTTTCAAAGTTATGAGTTTGATGATATCAATGTCACAATAGTGTAATGAAAGGCTATGACATGATTTTGATTCACACTTTTTCAGGATTAATGTGGAGCTGAGTTCATAAAGTGACAGTTTTGGTGCTGTTTTAAATGCTGTTTATTTTTAATCTTAATGATTAGTGCTTGATTTAATGAATTTGTTTGTCAGCTCATCTGAAGTTTGAACTCATATTTATCCAAGTTCTTTATATGCTATATTCAAAACGTTCACCTGTTAATTACCTTTTTAAATAAAGAGTGAGCTGTGGATGTCCTACCAAATAAATAAGTAATCTATTCCTTTGAACTTCTGGAATGGTCTGCAGAAGTTTGGTGGGGATTGCACCCAACTCTCCTCATCAGTGGGAAAATACTTAATGCCCTTTATCATAATAGAGCCATTGCTACAAATCATTTCAGAGAAGCTATGATAGTCTCGCATGTATCTATCAAATTTCATTATCTTTTGAACTACTGTTATTTACTGCTGAAATCAAAAGTTGCATATTTTATTAAGAATATCTCATGGACAGAGCTTCTAATTCCCCCCATTAAGAAGATAATCTAAAAATGGCCTATCTCTATCAAAGTAATGCCACTTTGTTGTAGAGTGACCCATTTAAAAATGCATCTAATACTATTCTGATTCTTTTCAGGGGGCACATTGTCATAATTTCTTTGATTATATTGTTATTTCCAAATCAAATATTGCTTTCTTTTGAAGAATAGTTATTTATTAAACATTGCATAGTTAATGAATGTTTTTTATGTAATGTTTGTACTTTTCTTATATCATCTCAAAATTTTTCTCCACAGTTTTCTTACTCTATATGAGTATTATCGTTTGTACTAAAATTAAAATCTAATTATTATTAAAAAATGCAGTGGTAAAATTTGCAATAATATATATCTTTTTCCTCTTTTTTTCTTTTATTTAAATGGATTAAAGGATGAATTGTGTTTTTTGTAATAAAAAATAACCATATGAAATTGTTTTTATTGAAAAAATGTAACAAAATATTTCATCTCTTGTTGGGCTGTCTTCTTGTTGGGCTGTCTAATTAAGTCCAGTTTATTTAATCTGTCTAATTTCACATCTTATGTGTGTGTATATATGTAAGATATAATGAAATACAATAGCTGCTTTAAAAAAATAACTGGCAACCTCAAAATTAATGATTCTAGATTTGGTGCTCTTCCCCTAAATTCATCCGTTCTCCTAAATTCGAGGTCTTTCAATGTTATGTAACAGTACATGAAAAGGGCAACAAAAACTAATATTAACCGATCATAGCTTGTCTCTAGAATTGCACCTACTTTGGTATAAATACTTCTGGCGAGCTAATTATGTTATTCTTCTGCTATCTTCTACATTGCTAATATCTTTCCACTTTGTTTCTTTAAAAATGCCATGACGTATATATTGCAATTTGTGTTTCATAGATTCAAGTTATTTAATTATCTTTAAACAATTCTTGTTTTATGTATGACCTTTTTTCACGTTTTCTCGGTTTTTATAACCATTTTCCAGAGAGAGAAATAGGATGACCTTTAAAATTATTTTGGAACTAAATTTATTTTAAATTATGTTCCGACTTTTCACTTCATAATCAATATATAGATAATATATATAGAGAGAGAAATAACTAACTATTTCTCATTATAAAGATCTTGTTTCATTTTTGATGAACTTATGTGCTGTTAACTGCAAAGATATCTTTGTAAGACATTCTCCTCTACCAGTTATTATTACTTTTTTTTTTTGGAATCTATAGTATGATAATGAAGTTTTCATAATTCTCCTCAAACTGTAGGTATTGTACATCATAGAGTTTTCTTGTTTTGTTGTATATTGTTTTTAATGTGATTTTGTAAAAATAAAAATGTTTTGCATAGGGTTCTGAAAGAAAAAAAAATATAACTGACATTTTTTAATTATTTCTCTTTTTAGTCCCATAGTGCCAGCATGACAAGTGTTTACAGTGCTGCGGGTTGTCACTATGGTTATGTCACTGTCAGTGGAGATGTTCTTTTCGGGCTGAATTACAATCAGAAATCACAAATGATGGAAGTATTTGTTAAGCAGTGTCGAAATCTAGCAGCTGTTGACATTCGACGTAATAAGTCTGATCCGTAAGTGGAAATTCATTTATATTTTACAATGTCTGTATATTTAAACTGAAATATTTTTCACTTGAAAGAACTTAAAGTTAGCTACTTCTCTCTTTATAGGATTTATTTTATTCTAATTTCTCTCTTCCTCCTATTTTCCCTTTTCCTTTCTTATTCTTATTTTAATTCTGGAAAGAGATTCCAGTTCGAGAAGGTATTTTTAGAATTTAGATTAGTAACAAGGAAATATTTTTATCACATCTTTTCGACATAGTTTTTTATGACATAGCTCGCAAGGCTGTGCCGTAATCACATAAAGCAAACCAAATCATTCATCAAGATATTTTCATCATTACAGAAAGTAAGAAAGCAACATATATTAAATTATAAGCTATTATATACAAAATGACAAAACAATCTTATTGACCAGATGATTGATTTCTATTTATGTAATATAATTACAGTGAACTTCTATTTTATTGGGATAATATTTGGTAAAATGTTTGTGGTTAATTAAAATCACAGTTAATCCAAGAACATTTTAAAAAAAGACATAAGAAAGAAAAAAAAATATTATAATTCACCTAAAAATAACATTTACAAATAAATTTATTTGGTTACACAAATAAAGCACTATTCAACACACAAAAAAAAAAAAAAAAAGTACTGTAAATAACATAAAAAAGTTACTCTTCTGTTATTGGGACTAGATTCAGAAATGCATGTATGTATTCATATGTGCATATATGTGTGTATACACATGCATGATAAGTATATGCATATAAACATATACCTGCAAACATACATAGATTTCTAAATCTGGTCCTGATATAACAGAAGAATATCGAAAAAATTATCATTAAAAATGAAGAAGCTAGATTATAAATGGCATTAACACACTGAGTGGCACTACATTAAAAAAATGTTGTTTTTGACTGCTATAGTTTTTGTTTAAGATAAAATAAATGTTCTGTAATGTAATATAGTATTTGTAATATATAATAATATATTTATATCTGTTTTTAGTCCATAATTCATTTGTATTCATCTGAATACATAAGGTGAAAAAGTCAATGTGGACAAAATATATATTGTATGTATTTGGATACAAATGGTGCTTAATGTATTAAACAATGATATTTTCAAAGTGCTGATGGCTTGTGATAGGATTTTTCTCTTAGTTCTGCAATAAATTAAACTTAACTTTTTCCTGCCTCCTTTCTCCCTCTCTCTTCCCCCCTTTTGTAAACATGATTTAATAAATTCATTTTATGTAAATCAGGTGTTGACTGTATCTAAGAAAATTCAGTACAATCAAATCTGTCTTTATTATATACTAATGGGGTGAATGCTTTTGTCCATTATAAGGGAGTAATGACTAACTGAGAGTACATTGCTCTTCCACTTCAAAAATGTATTGGGTTATAAGAATTGTTTGTGAATTGGGAGTGTCCATTAATGGATAGTCAACTATATATATAAATATTCGTACGTCATTACAGTGGGAATAATGTTACATTGTGGACATTTCCAAAATTAATCTTATGTTCACATGGTTTCCCATGTCCACAAATTTGATAAAAGTTTTTTCAGGTTTGTTTCCTGTAAATTCCAAAAGGTGCTGTAAGTAAATATGAGATCAGTGCAAATATTTAATTATGTTATCAGTTTGAAAATTTTAATTCAAATATCTTATAAGCTTCTAGATTCTGAGATTATAAGTTCTCACTAAGGAAATGAAAATTAAAATAGGATATATTCTTAGACATTCAGGACTTGGATGTCATGATAAATCTAATATTAAACATTAGCAGTAGTCTCTAATATAATTGAATGTCTCATTAGCGAATGTGTGAGAATGAAGGTTTCTGACTGTTACAGGGGAGTAAAGAGAAGTATGATGTCTGATATAGGTTATAGATATAACTGATATAACTGTTAGTTTATCTTACCTGCAGGAGATTTAAAACTATTTGAATAAGAATACCATAAGACAAGTATCATTAATAATTCCATATAATTACAATTAATATTTTTGAAATTAATTTATTTTAAATTCAAAGAAAATCTTTGTATAAATTTTGAGAATTGACATTTGCATAGCAATTTTGCATATCAGCTTGCAAAATGGATGTCTGAAATTTTCTAGAATTTCTAACTAACTGTACACTCATCCTGTAAAGAAAGTTCTTTCCACATTAAATGTGCTGTTAAAAGAGAGGCTTCATTTTCTTTTTCAGGATGTATTCATTCTATCTTGCTGTTCTTTTGTCTAAAAATGGGATACCTTTAAAAACGTTAGTCAGCACTTTTCCCTATCCTTTATCAAGAGTCTGTGTTATCAGAAGATGCTTTATTTTAAAAATGTGGGGATTGAAAAGCTCCATTAATGCCTTCTAAGAGTTCCTGCATCAAGTCTATTTAATCCTTTAAGAGACACTTCACTTTAGTTAAATGCTCACTAAATTGTAGTGTCTCTTAGGGGAGGTTCAAAACTGAGAATATAATGAACATTAATTTTGTTTCTTTATGGGGATTTTGCTAAAAAGGCTTGATTTTGTTTTTAGATTGTATTGATAAATATCAGAAATCAAATTTTTCTGTATTCTTTATATACAAAGAATAATAATACTAATGCAATTTTTAATGTGCAGAAACTTAAAATCATATTTTTTCCATTTATATACATTCACATATAACACACACATATATATTTCAAGAGATAAATATATCAGTTATAGCAAAAGATAAATAACACAGAATTAAATAATCATTGTATATATCTTATGCATTTATTCATTTATATATAGACACACATATATGGATACTTAGTATATGGATACTTAGTTTCACAATAAAATAGTAAAGTTAAATTAAATGTAAATAATTCTCTTGCACCATTGCTGCAAGGGATGAAATTTGATTTTAACAAATATTCTCTATATGTATAAAGTAAATATAATTAAAATTTTATTAAGAAATTTAAATTGCAAAGAAATAAAAATAAATAATTATTATTGCTGCTAATTTACAATATCATTTAAATTCAAAGAACATATATAAATAAATTGCACGTGTCTAAAACCATGAAAAAAATTATTCCAAAAAATTGCATAAGTCAATAATTGTTGAGCAGGCAGGAAACGGACTTATCAAGGGAAACTTGCCCCCTAACCTAACTCTTCAATTACTCAATTCATGTTTCATCATCCGTATAGGCAAGGGTAAAATTCAAAACCAAAAGAAAAACATAATAATGTAAATTACTAAAAAATAAATTTAAACAGTGGAATTTTGAAAAAATAGCAAGTAAATCACTAGAATTAAAATTCATTAAAAGTCAATTAAGAGTAGAAAACTAAATTTTTTAGAAAACCAAATTAAGAAACTCTTGCCTGCGAGAAACTTCCCCAACATGAATATGTATGTAAACCTAAAATAAATTATATGCAACTATCAAAATATAAAAATAATAATAATAAAAAGGCTAGTAAATAGCAAGTTTTAATTTAACTTACCTAGACATATTTGAATTTCTGAGTTAAGCATTTGCTAAACTTTTTGAGTTGAGTAGTTCTTTACTGCTGACTGTAAGAATAGATGGCTCTAACAATGTAAAGTTGAATTTTCAAAAGTTTATGAGGAGAAGAAACAAGTGAATAATCTTTAGTACTATTATCTTGTTTATATTTTATGTTGCTGAAATTTATTGAAATCCTTACTGAAGGTAGCAAAATACATTTAAGAGAGTTGTATTTTCTATTATTTCTGCATTGTTTGACTTAGTTACCTCCTGTTTCCATAGTGAAATTTAGATACTAAATATAATCTTTTTTTGGTACTTTTCCGTTTTGCCGGCGCAAACCTTGCCATTTCCCTTTCTCCAGCGCAAATCTCGCCAAGCAGACCTTATTAGCAACAACACACAGTAAACACATAAAAAAATGTTAAGAAATGTTAATTCTAAGAATTTTAAACTTTTATTATTATTTTGGAGGCATAAATATTTTAATATCGTTTAGAATTTTTTCAAATGGTTCTTTTGTGTCTTTTCGCCACATAAATTCGGAGAGGTAACTTTCCAGATGATGCCAAGCAGTTCCTCTGTATTTCTTATTCCGCCATTTTGCGCTTCCCCATAGTCTTTCAATTTTTTGCGTGTGCGTTCCAGTTTCTGGATCTACAAAATTGTATTTATGGTTCACTTTGAAATGTTCGAAACTTTCCTCTTCCAGTTTTTCAGTGCAATATGATTTTCATGAATCGGAATATATTGTAGTTCCTTTTTCGATGTTTTCATTTATTGCCTCTAATATAATACTCATGGATCGGTTTGGCACCATCACAAGGAAACATTCGTTTGTTTCACGACAAACTCCACCAAAGATCCACTGTTGTGGTAAAATCCGTCCTGCGTTGTTTTTGCACTTCGTGAACATACTTTCATCCACTTCAACGATCATACCAGGGCCTCCTATTTTGCGTTGTTGACTTTTAAGTAAAGAATCCACACAAACCTCTCGCATGTAGTTATTCCAATCCACAACTCTTCCGTGACTGATTTCCAACTGCTTTTCACACCATTTAACTGAAGTTAATTCTTCACTCCAACCATAAATGAATCTTAAACACTTCAAGAAACTCAATCTCGATGATTCAAACCATGTGCCTTTCCGTATACTTCTTTTACTGCGGCAAGTTGAAAGGTTGCAACGCCATTGAATTTCGTCTCCGAAATATAATTTCATTTCATGATTATTTTCACAAATAGCAATGTTAGGCAAAACGCCTTACAAAAATCTGATTCTCTCAGAATTATCTACATTAATTTCAAGTTAAATCTCAGTATGGAATACGAGTTTAAATGCAAGAATTATTTCAATATTATAATTAAAAAAATTCTATGTAACTGTATGCCAATATTGAAAAAAAAGGTAAATCTGATAATAAATCTCAGCGACTTGTTTTGAAAAAGTGCCGTGAAAGGTTATCAGCGAAGATATTTGCTTTGGCATCAGTTCTACCATTTTCGGCAACTTTATCGCTTGCGCCGGCGAAATGGGAAATTGCGCCGGCCAAACGGAAAAGTACCCCTTTTTTTTAAAAATAATAGATTATTTTGGATATTTAACTGCTGCTTGCTTATTTAATATATTTAAGCATTTCAAGGAAATAAACTTAACTGAAAAATAAAAATAAGAATTAAGATATTGTAACAGTTAAATTAATGCACTATAAAATATATTCATTTTGTACTATGATTCAAGTAACTTATGCATGTTATGTTTTGCATCTTTATAGGTATGTTAAATGTTACCTACTTCCTGACAAGACCAGGAGTGGAAAAAGAAAAACAAAAACAAAAAAGAATACTCTTAATCCCGTTTTCAATGAATTACTTAGGGTATTATGAATTTATTTATTAAATTAAGCAAAACAGTTGTACCACAAATTCAAAAAATTGTGTTTTTGCTTATGAAAGATTTATATGCAAAATGTAAGATGAGTCAGAAATATGGCTATATATTTGATTGCTGCATCATGTCATGACAATATAATGGCTATGGGAAGTGAAATAGTGCCATTGGAAGGTGAAAATAGTGCTATGAGAAACAATGCGAACCAGACTTGATTTAGTGTTTTTCTTTCCTCCTATGGGCTATTAATGAATGCTTTCTTAATTCATATTGATGTTGCTACAACAGATTACTACAAGTTCTTTTGGGAGATTTTCTGTTTTGGATATTTCCCATTATAAGTAGTCATCCCCCGCACATTGGACAGAATAGTGCTACATTAGAAATTACATGTTTCATAGACTCATGGTCATTGTGGTATAAAACTCCCACTATGCAGCAGTTGCTACTTCATGTTCGGTGGCATCTGAGCTAGCAAAATAAACTCACACAGGTGACTCAATGAAAATAAATTGATGGTTATTCATCATTTCCCCACTACAATGTATCATAGTTTTCCACTTTTCCCCCCCCCTAACTGCTTCCTTTTAAAAGTTTTTTTACTTAGTTCCCTCTTCGAACAGTGTCTTATTAGAACAATTGTACTCAATATATGATACATGTACCACTAAGGATAAATGAAAAATAACCATTAATGAAAGAAAGTAGCAAAGTTAACACTTTGCTACTTTCTATTTGATAAATGCTGACAAAAAAATATATTGTGAGTTTCAGTTTGTCATTAAATAAAAGGGAAGAACTGAGAGGATTTTCGATATGACTGTTATTGACCATAATGTATACGAAAGTAAAGTAATTAGTAGAAACTAGCCCCAGCACACTTGTCATATTATTCGATTTCTTTCACAATTTAGATTTTCCTCTTTTAAATTTGTTAAATGTAAAGTATTGTTTGTATAAAAATGGATAAATGGCTAAAAAGTAGATCTTTTCACTAAACTAAAAGTATCATGGATAACTCGATTTAGTGTCTAAGACGAGATCAATTTAAAGATGATCTATTACTGTTAAGATTGAAATTTCACTGTGATGAATGACTTCAAGGATTTGCCAATTTATTCTGTAGTTTTTCAAAAATAAATAAATTCAATTTGGAATTATAGGATAGTCCCCTAATTTTTTTTTTTTCAAAATGTCTGAAAAACTGATTCTGTTATCACAAAGTTATATTTTGGGGATCGAGTATTGGGAAAATTCTGAACAAAATATAAAGAGCAAAATAAAATAAGGGTAAAAAGGATGATAACTGACCTAAATGAATTACAAGAGTCACTTAAACATTACTTGCTCTATGAAGAAAGTAAGAAAATGAAATTTCAGATCCTCTTGATGAAGATCTGTTTAAAGCAACTTCAAAATTATCATTCTTTGAAAAAATAAGGATTACTTATTGATTGTATGCTTTGACCTTATTTATTGTAGTTTATTAAATTTATTGTATTAAAAACAGAGGTGTAGCTGGGGTTTTCAGCACCTGGGGAAAATAGAGGATTTTACGGCCGTTTCTGTGTGCCAAAAATGGAAAAGATTTCATGCTATGCCCAAGGACAGATGTAACCCCTTGCCCCACTCTAGCTATGCCACTGATTAAAAAAAGTTATATAATAGGAAGATAGATATCTTATGGGAATACTAGAGGAGATAGGGTTTCATAAAATCTTGGAGGTATGATTACAGTCTTATTGCAGAAGACAAAATGTTGGAAAGTACTGTTCAAGGTACTTTCTGAATAGGATCTGTAGGCTTTAACTGACAAAAAAGAATTTTGCTCTTTATTGCATTTGCACTTCATCAGATTATTAATTAAAATTCATAATGGCCAGAATCATAGCAATACCTGGCAAGAATCGTAGCAATTAAACGATTTTCAAAGCATTTATATTAATAAACCTGACAAAGCATGTACTGATAGTTATATATATATATATATATATATTGAAAGAATGTGTTATTTATCTGTATGAATTATTGTTCCAAATTTTAATATGTTAGACGGATTACATTTCCTGTAATATATAATTATAATTACATTTCCTGTAATAGTGAAATGAACCTACATGCAATTTGAGCCAGCATATATGAAGAATCAGTTGGTGTGATTCTTATATACTTGCATGATTGTAATATTTGGTTAGTCAAGAATTTGTTTAAATGCTTTTTTTTTTAAAGTGGTTAATTTTCCAAGTGTGTTTTTATTGCTTATTTGTTTTTCAATGCCTCTTCAGATTATTAGTGCACCCTCTCTAAGATCTCTTCACCGCCTAGTTGGATAACTGTGATAAACATTAACAATTACATCTCTTTTAGATCTATAGCTATATTTCTGACTAATCATATATTTCTGTAATCTAAGTTAAATTACATAATGAAACCTGAATATATCTGGTGAATGGATATTCACAATCTGTGTTTCCACTTCCTTGCATGACGTTGCATTGATTTAAACAGATGCATGGCATCTGTTCCTTGGAAGGCATCAGCCCACCAGCATGCGAGCAGTAAAATCGCTGAACACTGCTAGTTCGGTCTGAGGTTCGGATCCTCCAAATGGACTGGCTTCATGGCGTTTTTGTGGTTATCCCCATGTGTAACATGTATATGATTCATCTATAAAGGCAAAAATGTTTGGTTAAAATTGTTTCCTTTAGAAACTCCTCCATGAAGGCCTCCCTCCCCTTAGGCAGATAGCCCTGAAGGCTTCTGTTACACAGCATCAAAAGAACATGCGAACAATGTTCTGATGTTTTAGATTCTGTCCCAATTAAAGAATGAAACATGAGTAAGCAAAAGCTAGGCAATTCCTAGTCACCTAATTCTGTTGAGCAATAACATTAATATAGTCTGTTGCCATTAACACTAAGAAAAATAATCACATATTAAAAGTCAAACTCAGGGGATAAATTCAGAATTTCATCGATAAAGACGACAACAATAGGTTAAAATCGTTTCCTCTTTGAAAACTTTTTTAAGTGCCCCCCCCAAAATATATTTACAGTACTGTCTGCTCGATTATGTTAGCAAGCTAATTTCAAAATGTAATGCTAAAGTTCCATGCTCAGCATCAAGTTTATAACTCACTTCTTTGAACAATCTATTTTGAATAAATGAATTTTGAACAATCTATTTTGAAGTAATTAGGAATGAATAGAATTTAGTTTTTCAAACAAATTTCATTACGCATTTATAATGTAAAGCACTTATACATAATGCTTACTGCTGCTGATGTAGCAATAGATTTAAAAGAAAGTTCAGAAAGTCAGCATCCTTCATATGCAATGTGATGAAACCAATCATGGCACGAGCTTCAAATCCTGCGAACAGGCTGGCTGCGTGGACATTTTCAGAGTTTTTCTCCACGTGTAACGTGTATGTCCCTTAGAAAGTCCTATATGAAGGCATCCCTCCGCTTAGACAGATAGCCCTCGAGGCTTTGCCGTAATCGCATAAAACCCAAACCTCGGACGGCACCACTGATAAACTGAGATTCTGAATAGAAGAGAAACATTCCAATAAAAATTGTCAAAAATATTTTTGCTTCTAAGAAGAACGACCAATGATAAGTTAGATTGTTAGCTGTTGTTAATATCTTAACCTAACATAGATTGTTAAGTTGATCAGTTTTTTATATATAAATGAATAAATACGAAGTAAAAAACAGTAAAAAAACTAGTCTGTTTTAGCTGACGGCAGCAACAAGTGGTGGTAATAATGCAAAATGAAATAAAATTTTAAAAAGAAATTAAAAGATACATTTATTATTTATCCTTTATTCAATTCGGAATAAACCACACACACACACACACACACACCAAAGAAGTAGAAGGAAAAAAAAAAAAAATACAGAAACACAGTGGCACACTTATGCCAAAAATGAAAATCAAATTTGCGTCTTTCACTGCATCCTCGTTAGGAAGTTGGTGTCACAAAATAAATAAATAAATAAGTAAAATAGTCTGTTTCTGAACTGACAAAGATACAAATTAAAGTTGAAAAATAATCTTATAAATTTTTTGTTTATTGAAGATTATTTTTGGATTTTTTCCAAGTTTTTATTTTGTTTTATTTACTTCATCATATTTGGCAAGAAAACTTTTTTTTATTTTTTCTTCAAGAAGTCCGCAGGACACTTGTAATTCTTTTGCCATTTTTCACGTGGAAAAAAATGTTTACAGCTGTGTGTAATTCATTTGCTGACATCAGAACATTTGTCTTTTTTTTCGTCATTGCCATTACATCTCTATCAAAAAATCCGCAAATCAGTAAGAAAAACAATAAACATAAGATTAAAAAGCTGTGCCCTCTCTTGGCCATCAACATGAAACTGTAGCAGGAGATGACTATGACCAAGAAAATGGTTAGAGTGAAAATAAGTTGATATTTAAAAGTTTCTGTAAAAGAGGTTTAAGCTGTGAATTCATCTTTTGGGATAATTTTGGGCTTTAGTCATTGAAATCAAAAGTGCAAAGAAAATAATTTAGTGTTATTTGAAAAAGTTTTAACTAACCAAATATTTAATGTAATTCAGTTAAAGAAGCCTGATTTATTGCTAAAAGTTAACATAAATTAGTCAGAAGGAACATTAAGTTTGAATTATTTAGAGATATTTAAAGTGTGAGTAATTGAAGTTTTAATTCATTAATTTTAATTACATTTAGAATTTACAAATGTAAAACACTATATTTAGCAGATTTAATCATCATGAATCATCATGTTAATTTCTTTATATCATGGTAAATATGGCATTAATTTACAATAGCTGAATTCACAGTTTTGTTTATGGTATTAGTAATTTATTCTTTTACAGTTTCCAGTGCTAAAGCATGAGCTAGAATCTCGAACTCTATGGTTATCCGTGTGGAATAGTGATCTTTTTGGCCGTAATGATTTCCTTGGAGAAATAACTTTGCCGCTTGGATATCGCCTTTTAGACTCCCCTACCCTCAGGTGGTACCCTCTTCAAGAACGAGTAAGTGCATGCATCTCTAATTAGCATCTTAATAAGGCATGGACTTTTGATATGCTTTCAGTCTTTTGAAAATTTATAGAAAATTGTAGAATCTTCATCATATGAAGTCAAAATTTTTTTAAACGTAGTGCAAAAAATATGGATTTTTTTTCCTTTTCTGTAAAACATCTGAAGCCATCGTCTTGATGGGTTGAATTACAGTCGAGAATCTAAGACATTTAACCTATTTTTTATAAATAATAGTTCAATATTTTGAACTGAGAATAATTTCTCACCAATAAACATTTAACCATGATATAGTATTTTTATGAGCATATGTAATAAGATTTAAAAAGTCATTCTAAATAAAACTAAATTATATTAGCACTCTTTGTAATAAACTAACCTAAGTATATGAGAATATATTTTTAAAGTTATACATAGCTGTGAAGACAAAATAAAATTTGTAAATTACATTAATTTAGAACAGAAAGGATACATTCAGTTTTGTTTTCCATTGATTAATAAGCTATAATAGGTAATTTTTTAACTTTCAAATTGCAGTCAATATAAATTATTTTTAACTGCATTTTCAAGAAGATGATTTTTTGCATTTGTTGCATATATCAGTTCTGCTTTTATTGTATTTTTCAATTTGGTATTGTAGCAAAAAATTTTATTCTTGATCAGAAATGTGTGGATCAGCATGTATAATGAACAGTACTTGGTTATTATTGGTTTTCACCGAAATTCGTTGGAAATCGCTGTAGGATTCACCACTGTGTAATTCTAAGTTGGATGTGAAGAATCCTAAGAACTAGCAAGCGAATAATTGCTTGAGTTCGTGAGACAGTAAATAAACTTGGTAAGGGTTAAAAGACCCTTTATTATTCAAATAAGATTTAACAGAACTCCGTCTTGGAGTTGTACAATAAAGCTGACACTCGGGCTTCAACTTAAGAGACTAAGAAATAAACTAAATTAATCTTAACTAGAAAGATACAGCTGAAGCTATCAAAATTCTAACAGAGTTGTCCCCTTAATGCTAATTGAAATGAAGCTATCAATGGTCTAAAGTACGGCGAGCGTAGTAATAGCTTACGAGAGAGTAGCCTAAAAAAGGCAGATATGTGCAGCCAGAATATCTGGTATTTCTTTCACTAAGACAGTAGAACTTTGCGGTTAGATACCGATCTTCTTCATTACGTTCTGGCTGGAAGTGGTAAGTTGAAATTAAGAAGCAGTAGGAAAGGAAGTTCAACTCAAAATTTAACTGTTAGTAAAATTAACATAATCCTTACATCGCAATAATTTTTGTTTTTTGTAAGGATTTTGCTTCTCATAGCAACTTTGTACATATACCAAATGTTAATTGCAACCAAATCTAAAATATTAGAGAGCATGATCATTGATCATCTATGATTTCCTGCTTTTATTGAATAGTTTCTAGTTTATCAAGAATTTCAGTACCATTTTTTATAGAATTATTAAAGCCAAAATTTTGAGTAATTTCTTAGCATGATCTGCAAGGTCAACGATGTGATTGATAGTACTTCTTGAGCATACAAAAGACCCAAATAAGCTCAGATTAATTTAATGACATTGATCTGTTGTTATATTATTATTTGTATTGGTTCATTGGTAATGGTATTGCCATCTCTTGAAACTTGTTTATAACTTACTTTAAAATTACACAGGTACTTATATACACAATAAAACAAAGCTAAAGCACTTATTCACAAAATAGCAATTTTATGTCATTGTTTTAAACCTGTCTGGTTGTTGGCTTTACCGAAAACAACCAGAGCAGAAGAGTACTCTCTGCTTAAGAGGTATACAATAGTTTTTTTTTTTAAGCCCAAACGGACAATTTGGCCAGCAGGGCTATTAATTTTGTTTTAGTATTTTGCGTCATCCACTATAAAACAGCGTTTCACTTTTCAAATTGTTGCCACCAAATATTAGAGCCTTGCATTATATTTATAGAAATTAAATAATGAAGAATCTGCATGAATTCTGTATGTTACGTGAATGTACTCAGTCTTGTATGTATGTTTTCTCATATTGTGAAAGAACAACAGCACCTAGAGACATCAAATTTTCAATAATGTAGTCCTCCACTCTAATATGGGCATCTGGAAGGCCAAATTTGGAATTTGTTTTATTATCTTGTAATGTTGCGTGCTCTCAACCTGCACGCAACAATAGTGGTGACTGCTATGAACTGGAAAGTACACAAAGTCTTGAGAAGGGTTTAAATCCCTTTTTATTCAACTTTAGAAATTACAGATGCGTGATCTAGACGCTCACAAACTACGCCGACCCGGCGGTAAAATAAAAATAAGAAACTAAAAATGAATAATAACAAGTGACTACCTACGAGGCTCTCTAAACATAACCAACCTAACCGCGTTCTAAGATACCGCTGATAATGCAGCAAACTTCTGAATATTACGTTGAAAGATTTAACTATCTGCCAAGGCAAGCACACAGGCCGAAATGCGCAGTTCTTCAATTTCTACCTAGCCACCTCCACGCTCGTGAAGCAAGAAAGCTCGTTTTCGAACTCGTTTCCCTTCTATTTAACTCAGAATACTTCTGCTGACTATTTTGAATACTTTGCGCGTTCTACTAACATTTACATACTCTGGCATTGGCAATTCCAGGGGAAAGTAAGGCTTGACAGGAAAGATAGTTTAAACTTAAAATAAATGTTAGTTAAAATAAATATAAACCCTACAATCTACTTCATATTTCATAAAACTTTAAACCAATTTTTAATAAATAAAGGTAATGCATTAAAATATGATACATTAAACATTACAATATGTTAAAAGGTAATACATTAAACACACAAAATGTTAAAAAATGCCCCCTTCGGCGTAATATAAAAATTTCAGTCCCCCTCCCATAAATGAATAAAGTTTTGTAAAACATATAAGCATATAACGTTAGAGTAAATCTGAAATCATCAGAATGGCAGTATGTATACACTTATGTATACATTACAGATTTTAAACTCAGAAAATAATTGATAATTGTGCAAAATGCCGAAAAATTAATTAAACAATCAAGATAACACAGGATTAATATCTTTTCATATTGGCATACTAACAGGAGAGAAAATTTTTAAGTTTTTAAAAATCAGAACTGAAACAAAATTAAATTAATAAAACAAAATTCATGCAGTAATAAATAAATTGTTGAAAATTCTTTCATCTTTGTCTAGGATGAAGCCGAAAGAATTTTCAGCAGACTCGCATTTCTGGATTATATCTGGATGAGAATCAAAATTAATACAAGAAAATTAAAATTAAAAAATTGAAATCAATCAAATGATAATAAGTCAGTATAAAATAGTTCTTTAAAACTAAAACTATGTTAAATAATATCAAATTTTATCACAATTTAACAAAAATGTTTCAGAGATCATGTCAGGGTCAATATTTGTTTTCTTAAATATTATCCCTGTATGTCCATTCCAATTACATCTTTAATTTAAGCTTAAAAATTTATGAAAGCAGTTTTCACACTGTGCATATGGATGATTCTGATTTAAAAAGTAAAAGAAATATGAACCATTTAGAATAAAATTTTGGCTTGAATTTCTTCATCGTTTTTAAAGGGGAGTGGGGGGAGCTGTTTTAACTATGGTGAAACCATTAATCATTAAAATGAACAAAATTAAAATTTACTTATGAAAACCTGAATTTCGTAAATAATAGGCATGGAAATTACCAAAATCAGTAAAGTTACTCAGCAGTATCTTTATAAATGTTCTTATAAAAGTCTGGTACTTTCTGTTTAGAGCTGATAAAAAGACTATTTTATGCAGCATATTTTTACAAATCCCTTCTTATCAATGTTATTGAAACAGTTTCCATTAAAGTTGAAACCTTATTTGATAAACTGTGTAATTATAAATTTATGTTTTGGATCTTAAAGAAATAAAATATGTAGCCATGTTTTTAAATACCTATATAGGGCTCACAACATTTGAAGATTTTTCAAATTTTTAAACCAGATATACTTGAAACTAATTAATTAATTTTTCATTTTTTGATAATCCATATTTTGATATTATTTCAGTAATTGTATTCACTTTCATAATTTTGGGGTCATTTTGTTTCCAGATGGAATCTCTAACAAGTCCCTTGAACTACAAAGGCGAGTTATTTCTTGCCTTGAAATATGTGCCAAGGGACTTAAGTCTGGAGTCTCGTTTCCGGCCCGCTCCCGTAATCTCTCTGCGAGGAGCACTTCATGTACTGGTGAAAGAAGCCAGAAATATCTCTATTAATAGGAGCAGTGGTGCTTTGGATGCCTTTTGTAAAAGGTAGATATTTCATGTGTGATTTTATAAATAAGATACGAAATGCAGTATCTCACGTACAATTCAGATTAAGAGCTTTTGCAATATTGGAAGCATAAAAGAGCTTAATAGTCTCTTTATGTATTTCTGTATGTTTTTATGTGTGTAATTCTTATTGTTTTAATGTATCATAAAGTCGTCTGTGTAAGCTCCACTTTTACTGAACTCTCAGTATAGTTTTAGTGTGTGAATTCTTTATTTGTTCTGATATGTAAATTATGCATGTGCCAATAAAATACCAAGACTTTTATTTTTCAATCTAAGCATCAAGGACAAAGCTTAGTTTATTGTAAATTCATTCTGATCCTGTCTCCGAGCGTGGTAAAATTAGCTTGATATTTGTCATGAACATTATGTACACTGCTAAAAAAAAAATGGGACAGTCCTATATCTCCCGATCTACTGGGCCGATTGACAAAATTCAAATTGCGTTCTTCATGTCTCGAAAGCGCAACTTAGGATATATATTAGATTTATATATAGCACTATTATAACATAGGTATTTTGACACAAAATCGGACTTTTTCTGAAATAATATTTCGATTCTACGGCTCAAATTATGCCAGAATACCAAGTTTTGTAAAAATCGTACAAGTAGTTTTTAAAATTTTAGCTCTCAAATTTAGCTCCTGAAATGTTAATTGAATTTGGCAATATATTTATTAATATCTGTTTTATTTATTAAACTTTTTTGATTTTCCTCATCTCAAAATTCGAAATTTAGGTTCAATTCCGAATAAAATTGGTAGACCCATTTTTTGTGATTTATTTTTTACAGTTTGTAATGTTTAAAGTAATTTTTATAAATTTTTCGAAAAAATGTTTGCTATAGATTTTAACCTATAAAATTTTTACCATCATTTCATAAATTAGGTATATTTACTAGGCATATCTGCAAAAAAATTAGGACTTTTTTATTCAAACATTTTCCAAGATATACACGAATTTACATATTTTCACGTTTTGAAATTTGGCATCTTTTTTCTGAGCGATAATAACGCCAAATGTGGTCTATGGATTTTTGTTACACTGAATTGCCACAGCTATTTTTAACCTTAAATTTCAAGTAAAATTTTACGGAGAATTAATTATATGAAATTTTTTTCCCACAATAAGGCATAATAAATATTTATTAATACTATATGAAAATCTATTTTTTAAATTATAGATGATATTATTCAAATTTTAACAATGTTTTTTTTAATTTCTCTCTCTTCTTCCTTTAAAAAAAAAAAAAAATAAGAGTAACGTTTTTCTAAGAGTAAATTTTTACCTTCGGCGTTTTTATCGTCTGCTACTTTACTTCGTTTAAATCGAATTGTCTAAAACTGAGAATTTTTCGTTTAATGTTATTTGAATTTAATGAAAATATTTTATGACATTAACTGCATAATTTATTTCTAAACAAACTGTTGCTTTTGAAGTGGCTGAAAGAGCGGCAGATACTATCATCCATATTTTTTAAAGCACAGTATATTTTTATAGAAATATAAGATTTAGAAAATCATTTTTATAAAAGTCAAATTATGATATAAACATACAACCCTGTAGAGACTGAATTAATGGAAGTTCAATGGTTATGTAGAAATGATCTGCAGCTACTTAATGGCTGGAAAAGTCAGCAGATTCTGTGGACAAGCAAGAATAATTATATAAACGACACCCCAACATTCTGTTTTTGTATTTAATGTCAATTTAATCTGTAAAAATGTATTTTGTGCGTACTTATTTTCATTATATCCTTAAAATTCTAATTTAGAATGTAATTGTCAAGAACTGAATCCTAATCATCAGTAATATAATAAGTAATTATTACGGTTATTAATAAGTCCTTCTTATAAAGTAATTGCAAATATTTCAAAAAACTTTCTGTCTGAATGCAAATATTTTTCTATGCAAATATTTTTAATTTTATATTAATCAAGATTGCACACGATATTATTTATTTGCACTTCAATTTTTACCGTCAGCTCTAGTAGAAGTTACAAATCAATTATATTTAATTAAGTATTGGATTGGATTATTTAATTATGGCAAAGCACACGAGGGCTATCTGCCTAAAGGGAGGGATGCCTTCGTGGAGGACTTTCTAAGGGAAACTGGCTCGTATACACGTTACACATGGGCCGTTCGCGGGAATCGAACTTCCGACCGAACTACCAGTGCTCAGCATCTTTACCGCTCGCCCGCTGGTGGGCTATTTAATTAAGGAAGACCATCTAAATTTAGAAACAGCGTACCGTAACAGCAATTCAATTATTGGCGCCGTATCTTTCATGTTACTCCCGATTGGCAAGCTACATGATTTTTAATGAGTATTCGGGTTTTGCTAGTAACTTCATTTGGAAATTGCGCTTAAACTAGGTTAGTTGGTTATTTGAACATAGAAAGAATATGGGAGCTATTTGGTTAAGATGCTTTCCTAGAGAACCTTTGTAAAGAGAACCTAGAAAACTACGAAAACCAACCATGCAAAACCCTGGGTTAGACTTCGCAACAAACAATTAGTATTTAACAATCTTCAAATGCTAGGCAACTGATGAGGCTCCAATTAAATCTCCAATTTAATATTTTATTTGTAAGTATTTAAAATATTGTTGTATACTTAGACACAAAAAGCAGAACTACCAAGCCGTAGTGCAAATGAATATTCATTTTCTTTTGCAATAATTGTATTCACTTAATATTCTTGGAATATGAGCTAAAGAAGGAACGTTCTCGAAAGATTAAAGGAGTGTTTAAATCCAGTGATATAAGGTTTGTCTTAGAAGCTCAGGATCAAAATGATTCTGCAATTGCCCCAGTAGTTGACTTGTAAATGGTTGTGAATTAAGCAGATGACTTTTAATCTTATGTTTTCAGTCAGACAACGTATTCCAAATGTTTTGTATTGCATGACAATGCTTCTTTTCATTATTCAATAACCAGTCGGAGAACCGCTTGTGTTCCGAAAATAAGTATGTGTACTCAATCGTCCTGCATGTTTTTCAAATTTGTCGTCTTGTAATTTTTTTTCTTTCCCAAAAACTAAAGTTGCCTCTCAAAGGAAAGTTTTTTGATATTGAAGAGACAAAAGGAGTATGACATCTACTTTTAGAGGCATGTCAAAAAACAGATCTCTACAAGCCTTCTCTTCCATTACATGTTGTGCAGTCAGACAAAAAGTTGCATCAGCGTAAATTCTATAATCTATTTTTATTACACTCTGATTACTTTACTAACATACAGTGAATATATACTAAATCTTTTACATCAACTTAAGTAATTCGGAATTTTTGACGGAATTGTTGTCGGAACTAGGACTTAGAAGATAGGTCATATTGAAATTTCGATAATCCAATAAATTCAAGGTCGAAGTTTCAATATTTTATTTTCGGAGGGAGGGGGAATTTTTTTCAGTTTTGTTCCATTATCCTAAGTATATTTGCTTCGATTCTTTATTTATTTTTTCTATAAAAGCGGAAATTTACGCATGGTATACATAAAACACATAGCTTATAATTAAAATTTAATAATATACAGGGTAGTTTATAATTAAAAGTTCCACTTTGAACGAAATCATAAAAGGAAAACTACTAGACATCAAATGTTATCAAACCTTGGTAATCCTGTAAAGGAGGATCATGGGAATTTATTTTCCTGCGAAAAAAGGGAAAGTTTTGAAACCATCACCACCAGGGGGGAAATGGCGCTGTATGCAATATTGTTAAAACGAAATATGGGTCGGAAATCTAACTTAACCTTTGTGTTACACAGGTTTAATATGTTGTATACCCTTAAGAAATTTTGAAGTAAGCAAATTACCATTTAAAGCGTTAAATTCGATAAAATGTCGAGTGCGCCATCTGTGTAAGGTGTAAGGGAGAGAAATTCGTCCTGTGAAAACCACGAATTAGCGATTAGAAAATGTGAGATCGCAAATCACTCGCACAAGTGCGTACAATCTGGAAATCGTTTTCTTACAGATCGCTAATTTGTTAATTTTTGAAGCCTGAATTCGGCCCTAAAACATGAAGATACTGATTCAAAACGCTTTTAATCGATTTGGGCCAAAGAAATCCCTCACTGTTATCTACCTAGTTCCATTGCATTCTCTACTACTGCATTCGATTGCATAGCAATTCATTACACACCGTTTGGTGTGGAATGACAGCTAGTTTTTATAACTGAACCATTTTTCTCTAAAGAACAGTCGACAGCTGGACTACTGTGATTTCAGCTCACTTAGAGTCCATTTAAAATGTTTCGTGATACATGAACTGCAGTAACGTGGCATTTTAGATACTACGATTTTTATGCAGGGCTGGGCCCCACCTCACGTGTGTCGCACACTTACTTAGGCAACAACATTCACGAATGACGTATATAGGCCAACACTTCCCCTCTTCCCACCAGACCTCAACCTCTGTGACTTTTAGCTATGGGGGTTTCTCAAAAGCACTGTTTATGGTGATAATCTAAACAATTTGGCAGAAATGAAAAATGTTAAACACTGACATGTCCGTAACATTCCTCCCGATATGCTAAGAGCTGCTGTTGAGAATGCAGTAACAGGATTTAACTTGCTTTCGGAAAATGCTAGACGCTACATTGAACATGCTTTGTAAACACGTTTCGGAAAATATTAAACACATTTTAAGCAGATGTTTTCGAGTCTTATTTCATTTAAGAATCTGTGTATATAGCGTCATTTTCCCTCTGGTGATGATTTTTTTAACTATTTTTTTTCCTCGCTGAAAATAAATTCCATAACCTCCTTTACACGATTCCCAAGTTTGATAACATTTGGTACGGTACTTTTCCTTTTATGACCATTTCAAATTGGAACTTTAATTATAACCACCATGTAAATTAAACTTTAAAAATTTTACAGTTTGGTTCAAGTCCCAGCTTTAAAAATATGTATATAAATATAATCTTTTATGTTAATTCTCTTAGAAAGAATGTTTTAAGAAGCTAATTTT